AAGAGGTTTGGAAAGCTTAAAGTATACAATTCCTCCTTAAAAAGTAGCTTCCTCCCCTCCACTTCCAGTATAATCCACAATTCACCCAAGCTGCCAAATCTGCCCTACTGACATTCAAGGAAAAAAGCAGTTATTAGTGTTTTTCTATTTGCAAAGTATTCTTTGCGTTGAATGACTGCATTATCTATGCTGAGTGATCACTCGTGGGACTCTTAAAAGACCTACCTTGTGTTTAACTGCCGGCAAGACATCAACCAGTGTCTGCAGCCCTTCATGATGTGCTCCTAGCTGCAGAAGACAAATAGGAGTTAGAGAATCATGAAGATGACATCCTGCATATCAACCACCTTAGTCAGTATTTTTTGAAAGCAATGACAACAAAAATCTAGAGATATTTTATCCTAAACCAGTTTTAACAAAATGAAAATAAAAAGGCATCATTACAGCTTATTACACAAAGTGAAATTACCTTTAAAAACACTCCAATAACAGCCAAGCCGTTACCTTCCATCACCGCTTCTTCAAAAGTTGGGTACACAACGGCATTCCAGTGTACTAAATGCAACTGAAATAAGAATTAATGAGAAATCAACACATGCACAGAGCACAGCAGTGACATCAAGAAACTTGACTTTTGATCTTTGCTACATTTGGTCCTTGGCAATCTGAGACACTGCAGTGAGCTACCTCAGAAGTTACACACCACAAAACTGAGGACCAAAATGTTATTGGAAAATAATGGTACTTCCTCCCCGCCCCTGTCTTGTTTAAACAACAGCCAAAGACCCATAAACTACATTTTGCACACATGAAAGGGATTGTGTCTGTAGGAGACTGATTACAGGAATGCTAATTAAAGGCATAAAAAAAAGCTTAGTATATCTGGAAGTGAAGGACTCTTCCACCTCTTAACAGGAAGAAGAGAGCATGCTATTCTGCTAAGGAACATTCTCCTGCACATAACATAAGCTTCCTCTGCATTGCTTGCAGTCCAATTCAAGCATTCCATTGAGGGAGTTCTGTGTATTGAAGAGATAGCCAGCAACAGTCTCCCAAAACTTAGTCATACAGTCTTGCTGTTAATAAATATCTTGCCAAGCTGATAGGCATCATTATGAACACATTAACAGGAGATAAACATCTTCTCAAAAATAAGCAATAATAGTTTTTCAAATTCTCCATCTTTGGCATACAACTGTGTTTATCATACTTTCCTCTCAGAACAACTTAAGCTGTATTTTTCCCTGTTGGATCAATCCTTTTTATTGACTCTTTCTGCCTTAGTAGTAACTTAGTCACAAAAGTTTTGCTACTTTGATAATTGCTTAAGAGTTGAAAACAAAATAAAACGATCACGATAACCACTATATTACTATAGAACTATGCGGTACGTTATTCTAACAACTTAAGAAACACACAAAACATTGTTGATATCTGGAATAAACTTTCTAACATTAGCCAAGACTCTCGGGTCACCTACACAGGACAGTTATTGTACACAAGGTAAGCAAGACCAGGCTTCTCGAGCTACAGGTATGGGTGTGAGAATTAAATAATCTTCCATTTTCTCTTTCAGTATTTTTTTTAAAAAGAGTATTTAGTATGTGCTTTGTTTCTCTGCAAGTGTTTAGTAATAATAAACAAAGTGATTTTAAAGCAGTGAATATTGGGAGATTTGGAGGTCCACTAGAGGCAGCAGCTGAGATACAGTGCATGCACCGTACGCCCAAGAAAAGAGGTTCTACACCTCGTGTGAACTTGGAGATTACTGCAGCTCAGAGGTAAAGCGCTTAATTTTTTTTTAATTGAGATCTCAGCTTGCACATTTACCTCAATATTTGCTGTCCACCTGATCTCCACCACTTTAGCAGGGACCTGGGAGCTCATTAAGACCCGACTGTGCCCTCAGTCTGCTTTGTGTCTCACACTTTTCCCCTTTAGAAGGAGGAAAGACAAGCAGAGTTGTGCCACTCGAATGGCAACGACACTTCACTGCCTGCCACTGCCTTGTCTGGCGGCTACCCCTGGGGAGAAGAAAACATTACTGAAAGTTTCAGTAATGGGGCCAATGTTCAATTTTAAGACTGTGTTCTTCTCTAGAAAACACAGTGAATACGAGCTTACTAATAAAACAGTAGATGAGCTGTGGCACCTACCAGGTCTGATCCTTAACAGTAAGCTGCGATTCTTCAAATTCGGAGTTTTCTAGCATGCAGTATAGTCACAGACAGCCTGAGACCTAGCCTCCAGTCCCCACAAGTATTTGCATCGTTCAGCATTTTATCTCATACCTCTGCCGGGTAAAATTTACTGTCAACTGTGTGCTCTGAACCCCACTCATTTATAGCTCCCCAATGGAAGTGGAACTGCTTTAGCCTGTATTGGTTTTCCAAGGGACCTCCAACGATTACTAAAACAAAACAAGACACACATATTAATAAACATGATTTAGAATTGTCCAGACAAGTAGCACTGCGAGATCCTCTTTGAAATAAATTTGCCCAGGAAAAAAAGATCAGGCGGAGCAACTGAAACAGTCCCCTATTGCTTGGCTACTTTTACATTTTACTTTGCTATGACAAAATTGTTCAGGCAAACATCACTGTTTTTCCCCCGCAGTCTGAATCAACTATATCACATTGAAGTAAAGCTAAATAGTCTCCTCATCCATCTCTCCTCAAGGGAATTTTTCTTTCATCAAGTTTGGCAGTCATGATGATTACATGTTAATGTTCTATTCTCTTCTCTTTGAGCAGGCATAGGAGAGATGCCTTAGCAGAAGAAACATGTATGATGACAAAGCAATGAATACATCTATTAAATGACATCCCAGCAAAGCCTCAATATCTATTACAAATATTGAAATTTCCCATGGCAATACAAGACTTCAAAAATCCAGTTTTCCCAGAAAAATCAGTACATTGTGTCAAATGTTCAATTCTGCTTTTTTTCAAGTTACAGAAATTCAAACATATTGTTCTGCTTCTACGCAGCTTTCAGACCAACGTCAAAAGATTTCCTGCACAGTCACAAATATGCTAACGTTGAGCCTACTGTAAACTGCTCAAGCTACACTCCACAAACCACCTAAACATACAGTCTGCCTACGGGCAAGATTCTGAGCTTCTGGAAGCTTTAATGCACTTTTCTAGCCATGAGTACATGTAAACATTCAGTCTGCTCTCCCAATTTCAGAAGGCCTCTCACCATTTTGCAAATACACGAATGAAAAAGTCTATGCCTAGTTTTCTGTGTATTGTTGGGTTTTACGCATTTCCTCCTAAGTGAACCAGGAACCTCCCGCAAAGTGTTCTTGCTAGTTATTACATCACAGCATCTAGTAAACGAGACACCATAATTACATACATAAATATGTAGCTGTAGAGACTCATTTGCTGATTTTTACTTAACTGTACGTCATGGTTAAATTTTATAGCAAACCACTGTATAAAGTACATAATCCCAACACTACTTTTGAAAAGAAGAAAATGAGAGGCATTAAGAGCTTTTCTTGTATGTTTTTTTTTCCCTGAGAGACAGCCAGTAGTTTTGCAATTCTAACTAGGTAGGCCTGCTTGTGACAAAAAAGTAAGCTAAAACAAGCTATGCAAATTGACATTTAATTAATTTCATTCACTGCTGCTGAGCTCTTAGCATAAGTGCAATACTGACCATCACAAAAAAAAAAATGATGATGGAGAAAGGTAACTTTCAGGGACGGGATGAAGATGAGGCCCACACTACCAAGTCTTTCAGAATTAAAGTTACTGTGCTCTAACACTATCCACTCCTGACTATGTGATGATGCAAATCCACGAGTGACTACATTCGTATCAATAATCACATCCCTTGAATGTTTGCCTCACAAATAAAGTTAGGCACAGGTATGTAAAAAATCAGGTTCCTATAGCGGATGCTAGAAAGTGAAAGAAACAAATAGGAACTTGCATTCCCCTTACAATAATTTTTGCCATTTCGTTTCCTCTCAATTTACCAGTCTTTTCAATTTCAAAACAAAACAAAAGCTTAAAGGAACTCTAACAACAACCAGGGGAAAGAACCACATCAGCTTTTTGTTGTAGCCCTAGTTCTGTTTCAGGCTCATGTCCTTGCAGCAGACGGCATTCACGCACACAGACAGGATCACATTCAGTACATACCTTCCCCACATCCTCTTTCTTCTCCATCCTCTTGCTCTGCTCATAAGCAAACACCCTATGGGAGCACTACCTTCATCTTTTACCCAAGTCTTGTTTTGCCTCATCTCAGGAGTTGGGCATTTTTGTCTACCCTGGATGCATGTTTCATTTTGTTTTTTTCATCTTTTTTTTTTAAATGTTCTTGCCTTTTTTCTTTGTTTATCCATAAGCTTCCTTCTCTGGATTTCTATTATTATTAGACAGAAGCTAGCAGAAAGAAAAATCAGAAATAGCAACAGTAAAGAGGGAAAGGTGGAAGAGAAAGGCAGGCACTTGAAAACCTGGGCACTTATACAGCAACATCCCGTGATCTGTTGTTTCTCGGACTGTCACTTTGGAGTCCTGCCACCGACAGTTTAATGCCATCCTCCACCAGGCGTCATCACCCCTCATTGACTTTAATTCATTTGAGGAAGATGATGATGATGAAAAGGCAGCAAGAATGCTCACACTTAAAGATTTACCTCAAGCGTTCAGCCTTACAGATGAAGTGGGTAAGATCTTTCAGAGCTGAACAGACAGTCTCTGAAAGGCCAGCACCCCGCTGACAGTCCTGATGATTCCATGCTTGCCTCTATGTCACAAAAACTGTCCCTGTGTATTTATCCTAACCTCCTACAGGCAATTCCCCTCCATTACATCAATTCTTGCAGAAAAAAAAACGGTCTTTGTTATCCATCAAATTGCAAATCATTAACTTCTCAGGAACACATCCTCAACAGATAGCAGGGTATGGCTGTATAAAGTAAAAGACTGTTAAATTAAAAGCAAAACCAATCTAAAGTTAGTAAGTTAAAATCACTAAAAATCATTAGCTAACAAGTGATGTCTCCATCTTAGTCTCTCCTCTAACCCCACCTCACTAAAGCAATAAGTTTGTACTGTTAAAACAGAAGGGCACTACTTGTTTTCTTCATTATAGATCAGAGCGTTCAAATGAGCAAGGACAGGAATATTCCCTGGTTGGAAACTAGTATTCTGGATGAACAGCTATAAAAAATAAAAACAAACAAAAAACCCCAAACATCACACAAACCCCTGAAAGCTCCATGCACTTCACCCCTACTATTTTTGCTGTATTGTTTTCAGCCTCTTTCCAGAGATCAGCCAAAAATACTGCTATCACAGAACCATTAAGGTTGGAAAAGGTCTTTAAGATCATCAAGTCCAACCATCAACCCAACACCACCATGCCCACTAAACCATGTCCCAAAATGCCACGTCCACACATTTTTTGAACACTTCCAGTGATGGTGACTCCACCACCTCCCTGGGCAGCCTGTTCCAATGTTTGACCACTCTCTTGGTGAAGAAATTTTTCCTAATATCCAATCTAAACCTCCCCTGGCGCAAGTTGAGGCCATTTCCTCTCATCCTATCGCTGGTTACTTGGGAGAAGAGACCAACACCCACCCCGCCACAACCCCCTTTCAGATAATTCACAGACACAAAGCATTTATTTATTAGCATGCTGAAAGCTTCCTTCCCAACAGCATTACTAAATCCCTTACCAAGTTCTAGAATCTCTTGTGGTAAGCAATCACATTAAACATAAATGACTGTAATCAAACAGGTTCAAACTTGCCCATGGTCCTTCAATTTTTCACTGCAGGAGAAGTTGAGTAATGAACATGGATCATGTGCTTCACAATACCCCTGACCAACTGCTACCAGTTCACCTACCTTTACAAAATATCTTCTTTATACATACCAGCAATATCCTTTGGTAAAGTTAACTTTTAAAAGGAACAATGGACACGAAATCAGGAATTTCATAGCGATATTTTGATTTTAAGTCACTTGACTCTATTGAGCACTTCAAAAAAATTTAGCTGCTCAGGTCAGCATGCTTATTGACAACAAATTGCTGGAATGCATAATTGGATTTCACATGCTTATACTAAACCAACAGGAACACATGCACCTGCTCCATGTGGTAGCAGCTCATTATTATTTAATTCTCCAATAGCTTATTGAGATAAGTATGTATGCTTTCCAACTGAAAGTCATTTTGCTGCTGATTATTTCAAATGCACTAAATATACCTGTTAACACTACAGAAGAGGTAAGTGGTAGATTAATAAAGTATAATGATGGAAGCTCATTTAAAGTTAAGTAGATACATATACATACGACTGAAGATTGACTCATGTAGACAAAGCTGTGGTATTACAAGACGTAATCAAAAGGCAGGGCATTACAGCTTGTGCAATAAGAAAAAGTTTCAACATACAACAGAGGATTTGTGCACAATGTCCATGGTAATACATACATAGTAAAAGTGAGGCCTTTTATGTATAATATAAAACATATAATAATATAGAACGTCTGCATTACAATTCACATCACTGCAAATCCACGTTTAGCTAAAGCGTTCCTTTACTGTACGTTCATTTTCAACATTTGTTCTGAGGTTTTGCATTATGCAAATATTTCTCCTCTCTAGGCACTAATAAGAAATTAAACAGATTTTTCTTGAGTTTTGCTTACTTGATCTATCAGTAGAATCATCAAACTCAACCAGGAATGAATATCCATTGTTCCAGATGTGAAGACACGTTGTTGGGTCGTAGCTGATTTTCAGAGGCTTCAGAAAGGGGTCGTAAACACTGTCTCTCCACTGGATATTGATAGGAGACTGTCGGGTGCCTCCAGGAATTGTAAGCGGACTTTGCCAAAGTGGATGCACTGGAAGACGATGAAGAGAGTCAGGCTGTAATGCACGATACAGGACTTCCAACTAAATACTTCAGAACTTTTTGGCAGGAGAAGGCACTTTGGCATATTGGCTCCAAAGGCTAATTCAAGTCAGCTGATGCACAGAAAAGTGAAAAAAATAAATAAATACTACATTCCAGTTGCATGACTCAAAGCCACAGAGGGAAGCGCAGTAATTTGACTTACAACTGTGTTGATACCTTTCTGCATTTGCAAAATGCTCCTCAAAGAAATTCTGTCCCCTTATTTGTCAGAATATCGCTTTCTTTTTATTGCCAATTGATTTTAAGGTAGCTTCTGGCTTACAGCCTTGCCGGAGTCTCCGCACACCACTCCAGCTTTCCTTACATGCCACTACTATCACCTGGCGTCAGGCTGCACCAGCCACAGAGTAACAACCCCTGCTAGAAAGCAAAAATCCCCTCTCGAAGGTGCCGGCCTTTCGCCTACGTGAGCTTAGGGGCTACGCCACTGCTAAGGCGGTAGCGCTCCTGAAGTGCCCATACCAACATTGACCAAGGCTACTTTATGCGCTCGGGACCTACCGCTGATCCCCACACCTGCAAAATCCTCAACTGTGGATTTTGGGGGCAACTTGAGCACCTCAAACTGGCACGAGCAGGGCAGATGCATGGATACAGTTTCCACGGGATTTTATTCTGCTTAAAACCAGAACTGAGATCTGTGTGGATGAGAAGGCGCTTGTTCACCTGCTGTGTCCCCACATCCACGACCCACAGACAAAGGTTTTTTTCGTGCCCTGCCCACCCACGGAACCAAAACTGAGAGGCTCTGAGGCACTGCGTTACGGGCTACTTCCTTAGATACAACTGCTCGTGGTCTTTCACAAAGGGAGAGAGAAAATAAATCTTTTAACAAACCATTCACATGAGGGGTGGTTAAACAACCTTCCCCCTCGGTTTCCTCAGCCAGACGCAAACTTTACCGGCCTGCGCAAGGTCACCGCACGCAGGTAAGGCAGAGGCAGGCGAGCAAGCAAAACATTCTCCAGAAGTGCCACAGCTCTCTGTTGTTGTTACTGCCATTTCCTGATGTTTCAGCGCAGGAACTGGCGCCCACAATGCCAGGCTGAACGCGGCGTCCCTGCTTCTTCTACGCGAACTTTGGAGGCACCGGCAGCCCCCTCAGCCCGGGGGGGCTGGGAGCGACGGCGGGACACGGGCGC